GACAAGGTAACGTACGATGCCCTTGCCGTTCTCCTCGCCGACGACCGAGTTAACGATCGCCAGCCGAGTTCTGTCAGGGATTATGCGGTTGTCACTGTCTTGCTGCTCGTATTGTGACTTTTGGAACGCGAGCTCGCGAATCTCTCGCGTGAGCGCCGATTTGGACTTGTGTAACAATCGTTTCTCCTGCTCGTCTCCCGTAAGATCGGCCTTTTTGATCAGAGTGTCCAACATCGCGTCTTGGGTCTCCAGAGCGGATATTTTGTTCGACAATCTTGCAATCTCATGAGAGAGCTGGAAATCACCTGGACGGGCCATTTGAATATCATCATCTGCTCTGTGGTCTTGAGCATCATCACCTTTATCCTCTAAGAAGTCCTCCTGGGAACCGGAACGTTGGCTGTGGAGTAAGAAGGGGACATCCTGTTCGGAGAATGAGTCGAAGAGGCCGCCAGGGGCAGGGCGTTTGCGCTCGGCCTGCTGGTTGTCGAGCGCGATGATGTCCGTCAACGCTGCTTGAATGGCGTCGACCGTCGACCGACTCTCCCGTGTATCCTGCGTCCTGTCGTCGGGATCGTCGAAGAGTGGTGCTCGAGTTTCACGACTCTCAGAATCGGATGCTGGCGACATTAAGAGATCCAAGGTAGACGGAGAGGGACGGAATGGGGAGCTGGGAGGTGGGTCCGGCGAAGGAGTAGTGGAAAGCTTCTCCGGACGACCCGTAAATGAGGCCGCTGAACCAAGTGGTAGGATGAACGACGGAAACGAGTCCGCCCGCTGTACGGGCGAAGGTAAAGGGTGCTTTGCTTTGGTGGTGGGTACCATTACAGTGTCCCGACTGGCCAAGGACGGACGTCTTGGACGTGGTGAACCAACGGATGAAGACTGTCCTCGGCTACCGTTGATATCCTCCACTACGCGGAACCATAACTCGGACCGTTCAAAATCCTCGAAGTCTTGTTCCGTGGCCTTCTCAACCTGCTGCTGTGCGAGCATGACAGACCGACGGGCTTTGCGTTCCACCACAGGCGAAGGATGATCAGTGGCCACGAACTCACGAATGGCTGCTGCATGCTTTGCAGAGACGGATATGAGGGCTGGGTGGGGGGTTGCAGAGGAGAAATAGAGTTCGAAAATCATGGATACGTCCTCTTTTACGGTGGAAGAATCCGATGGGCCTGGAACAGGATCCCCCTCGTCGTCCGAGCCTGAGTCCACGGATTCCAGGGGGTTCTTGAAACTTTCTACAGTCAACCAAAACTGCACCAGTAGAGAACGGTCGCGGCGGTCCAAAAACTCCATAAAGTATGACAATGAGTTCGGATTTCCAAGGATATCACGCAGCGTCAGACGAACCGCAGACCCCGGATCTGCTACCGAATGTCGCTGCCGTGAATCGGTTATAATTTGACCAACAAGGAAAGTGAAAGTCACTCACTCCTTCATCAAGCCCGCCTAGGACACTTATCCTCTCCTCGGCTTTACGCTTCGCAGTATAAAGCCTATCCAGGAAGGCGACCACATCTTCAGTCTTCTCCCCGTTTATCCAGTCTTCCCGCTCGTGGTTCGCTTATAGCCCATACGTTAGAAAGGTACACTCGCCAAGGGAACAACACTCACCAAGCAGTAACCGTGTCCTCCTGATCTCGCCCACGATGTCGTTCTTGAGGCGTCGGGCATCCAAGAGGGAGGATGTGCGAGAGATGCTCCGTAAAAACGATTCAAAGTGGCGAGCATCAGTGCGGACTGTTATTGTTTCTGGGACAGATGACTTTGGAGAGGCTATACGGTGTTCGGGTTGTGGGATTTGAGCTTCCAAAATGTTTCGAACCTTGGATATCAGACGTCTAAAAGGAGTTTATGAGCTGAATGCGGTTGTATGCTCTCGAAGATGGCTCACTGTTGCCGGATTGCTGCCCCTGCCTGGTGAACCTCAGTAATGGGAACATACCTATTACGTTACATGCTCACCAGCTGGTCGATCGTCCGATTCCAAAAATCAGGATCCGAAAACATGTCCAACAAGGGATAAAGGACGGAGCACGACACAATCTCGCGCACGACGATGGTAACGGCTTGACTGCGAGCCTCGTTCTCAGGAAGGATAAAAGGCAATGCACGATCTATCAGTCGCTTGAGGTGAGCCTCCTCGGACTGTTTGGTGAAGCTTGACGAAAGGTTGTCCACTGCAGAATGTAGCTTTCCCCCGCCCTTGCCTGCGTAGCGGCTCGCGAGCAACATGTCTAACTCGTCTGACTCGGTCAGCCTCCGTTCTAACCCTGCACCTCGAAGGGCAACCTCGGACTCGCGGAACTGTTCCACATGGGCTGTTATCTTGGGTAGTATGCGCTTGACGAGAATATCTGCTAGATCCAACGACTCTAGGGTCTTGAGAAGTCGCTCGAGCGAGCTGTGCAAGGTGGAGGAGATGGCGGTGGGGAAGGACGGTGAGGACGAAATATCCTTGTACCAGGTGAGGACAAAGTCCCGTACGATCATAATAAGAATGTCATTGACGGCAGCAGATATCATGGGCGAGTCTGGGTGTATGGGCGGTAAGGACTGTGGAGGTTTGTAGGCCCATTGGGACCTGGTGAGGACGACCTGCCAGGCGGCCGGTGTAGAGAAGGCGAGGGGTCGAGCTGGGAGGGTGGTGGCATGATTCCACCGTTTCCTCGTGTCCAGGGCATATCCAACGACGGTATTGAACGAGATACAAGCAGCGAGGAGCAGGAGCAGGAGGATTGGAGAAATGAGGATGAGGGCGAACGGAGAAGCGACTATGCGGAAAATGATGGGGATGGCGACGGAGAGAATAGCGACAAGGACGACATGGGATGTGTTGGGTGGGTGCATGGTAGCCTCCGAGGATGTCTGGGAGCCATGGGCACTGTCCGCACTTCAAAACGCCATGGCCGTTTACAGTGCTTGCTGCAACTCGAGAACTCCAGTGCTTCTTTCAGCCGTGACGCGTGACCGTGTGAACGACGCGTCTCGCTCTCGCAGCGCGTTTCGGAGCTTCGGCCGTTCCCTCCCCCGCACCGGTCACCTCTGCCTTTTGCCTCATTCCACTCAGTCTGACCTACTCCTCCCTTTTTCCGTACCCTTCACCGAGAGGTATAGAAAGTATCATTATACCTCATCGTCTTTGCATTGATCCACCCCCTCACCTCCCAGGGTAGTCAGACACGTCCCGCGTCCGCACGTCGAGTCCATTTAGACACAATGTCCTCACAACCTACGCCATCGCAACCCCGACCGCTCACCACTGCCGAGGGGTTTGCTCTTGGTGGAGTCGCCGCAAGTATCGCTGTCAGTAAGCTGACCGCAAGCAACCTCGACACCCAACTGACGGGCTATGTCAGGTTACGTTCTCCAACCCAGCAGAGGTTATGAAGACCCGCATGCAGCTTCAGGGAGAGCTGACGAAGGGCGGCGGAAAGAAGGTCTATAACAATGTTCTCGACTGCTTCGCAAAGACGTGGAGACACGAAGGTTTGAAGGGAATCCAGAGAGGCCTGCCTCCAGCGGTACGCGCTTGTTGACCCATGCTACATCTCCTCACTGACTCGCATCCTCCAGTATGCGTATCAGGTAGATCATATATTCCGCGCCTCTTCTGCCCTCTGACCGAACTGTCCTCTCAAGATCCTTTTGAACGGCTCCCGTCTGGGTGCGTTTTTTGCCTTACCAGCATGACCGTCGTTAACATCCATTCAGGTTTTTACGAGCCCTTCAGAAAGGCAATCAACCGCATGGTCGGGTTTAGTCCTCTCGACCAAGTCCCTGTCACCTCGGTTGCCGCTGGAGCGGCAAGCGGCGCTGTTGGAGGTATGAAACCGCTGCATATATGCGCCCCTTTACCTAATAATCTGTTGCCGCCAGCTTCGCTTGGGAACCCTCTGTTCTTGATTAAGGCTCGCATGCAAGTAGGTGTTTTTGGGTGTACAACTTTATCGTTCGCGTCTCACACCCTCGATCAATAGGCGTACTCTCCTTCGCTTCCGGTTGGCGCGCAACATTATTACAAGAGCTCCTGGGGCGCTCTGAAAACAATATACCAGAAGGAGAAATTCAGAGGACTCGTTCGAGGCATTGACGCCGCCATCCTGCGAACGGCAATGGGTTCTTCGGTACGTTTCGTGCTAATTGGGAAGGGGGATGAACGTCGATGGGGCCATGTAGGTCCAACTACCGACATATAACTGGACGAAAAATCAGCTCGTCTCTCGCGGGATCCTTCCCGACAAGAACATATGGACATATCTCGCCAGTAGCTCAGTATCTGGCATCTGTGTGGTATGTTTCAAATATGTCTATCCTTCAGAGTCTTGTTAACAGCGCTTCCAGTTAATTATGATGCAGCCTGCCGACACTGTGCGTGTCAGCGTCTCTTCTGAGCTTACTACGCATGCTAAACTACCCTAGGCATTGACTCGCGTGTATAACCAACCGACGAAAATCATGCCCAACGGCAAGATTGTCGGGCTGTTGTACCGAAACCCAATAGACTGTTTGTGGAAGACGTTCAAAACAGAGGGGCCTCTGGCGTGGTACAAGGGTATGCTGAAATACCCGTAATAGACCCTTTTATGCTGATCATGTTTGCAGGTTCGACGGCACACTTCCTGCGCATAGCGCCCCACACGTAAGCAGTTACTTCTCTCGCAGCCAAGATAAGGTTGCTGACTTGCGTGTAGTATCATCACCCTCACGGCCAATGATTTGCTCTTGAATCTATACAAGAAGGCACGTCATGGTACCGTTTCATGACACTGTCGTAGAATATTATGTGGAATATAGCATCAATAATCATGCATTAATCATGGTCAACATCTGTTCGCATGAACTAGTGTTACAGCCGGAACTTGACCTCAAGTATGTGCTTTTATAAATGAAGATTTACAGACAAGCAGTGAGTGGACTGATACTTATCATTCATGATCATCCCCTTGGACATCGCTCGTAGACTCAGTGCACATTGTCAAGATGGTCTCTATGGCCCTTTAGCTCAGTGGATTAGAGCATGTGATTCCAGCTTTGGGACCTCCACAAGGTCGTCCGTTCGATCCGGGCAAGGGTCAGCTCTTTTTTGCTTGATGGGCTGGAGTACGTGACGGTGCAAAGGCTAGTTAGATGACGCTGTATAAGCGTCCGGAAAATTGTTAGTAAATAGAATGATAATCCTATTTACTATACAATTTGAGAGGGCAGTGAGAGGGCAGATGATACTGCTAGTTTGTGGGTGTGGGGTGTGGATTTTTCCGGGCCCGCGGGATTTGCCGTGGTGGGGGATTCCCACGATCACGTGCATCCCAAATGCGTCGCAAAGCTCTTTTTAAGTCGAATGCGCGACGAAGATCCGAAATGATCTCGCGCGCAAACGCTGTGCAAAAGCGCGGGCGGAAACAATCGAGCTGCAAACGCTCTGAGAAGTCTCCTCCGAAAAGTCGGAACGAGAAAACCCAGCGCGCAAGCGCTAAGAACAAAGGGATGGAGGGAGGGCAGAAAAATCGGCAGCGCGTGTAGCTGCGAATGAGGAGGAGAAGGTCGAGGTCGTGGGAACAATTTCCTCGACACGGCCCCGACTTCTCTCCTCGATCCGGCGCGCCGCGCCGCCGCTATCTATGCTGACTAACTA